CTTAAGAACACAATCACAGTCAGTCTAAAACAATACTGTTTTATGCAAATCCAAAGAGCCAAAGAAGTGAGAGATGCATGAAAAGAAATATCAAGGACTTTCTGGGCTAGACCTTTTCATCAGTGCTCGCACCAGCCAGCACGAGGGAAGCTGATGAGTCATAGCACCTCAGAACACCGGCCTTTGCACCAACCCCTTATGTGTTATTTACAAAAAACTTGAAAATATGGTTACATATAGCCAGTGTTGGGGGTAACGCATTACAAGTAACGCGAGTTATGTAATCAGATTACTTTTTTCAAGTAACTAGTAAAGTACAAGTAAGAGAGAGAGAGAGACTGAGATTTTGAAAGTGAGCATAATTATTAAGGATGATTTTCCTAATACAATATTCAGTACATATTGGCTTGTGCACAGGACATAAACAAAAACTGAAAAAGATCTAAGGAGTTAAGATGCATATATAATTAAAATCCTTAAATCAGTCTTTAGTCTCTTTATAAAGTGTCTTGAATACCACAAAATGTTCACTTTATCTCAGTTACAAAGTACAAAAATGCTTCATTTTCATCTCATTTTTCTGGGGCACGAGGTTCACCAAACTGTGAAGACACTTTTAATGTGTAAAGAGGTGTGAAGTGAGCAGGGCATGTGGTGCATCATAGAATCTAAATTTAAGACTCTTTTCATGAACTTGATGATAATCTTTTCTGTCTCTCTGTCCTCCTGTTCAACCTTTGAAGCATTTGTTTTACTATTGGGCAGAGTTTAAGAGGTTAACGCATGCCTCTAAGAGCTATGAGCAGTGCCACTCAAATCAGCTCTTTTTTCTGTTGAGCATCTGCCCAAGATTAATCTAGACATGTATTCGCTCTGTATTTAAAGGTCTAAAAATACCTGCACTCAACAGTGAACAGTCTCTTGTAAAATTGTGCTGCTCCCACACTGTCAGAGTGGAATGAAAGTACCTGCGGATGTCATGTTACATCTGATTTTTTCATCACTAAAAAGAGAAAAGGTTAACATGACTCTTGGCCTCATTGATTGCTAGCACAGCCATGATGAAATAGTGGTCCCTACAGAATAAACCAATAAAGCTAAAGGTGACACTGCAGGGGATTCAAAGATGACATCTTTATCGCAATAGATTGAAAAAGATCAACTGGTATTTTCTCTTATTCTTTCCCAAGACAGATTGCTTGGTCGTTGTGCATTATTTCCACTCCACTTATACACTGGACCTCACGTTCAAAGCAAAGCGCTCCTGGTGACAGAAGCTAAATCTCATTAAAGCATGTGCAGGTCATATTTCACAATAAATTCAAAATATATATACAATTTTAGGACTATTATAATAAATATTTACATTTTTTAATGACAATTAACCACATAATTTGCCTAAAAATATTGCAACACATTTGGACATTTCACTTTGTCACTGTCATGATATATTCATATTGTGTGTGTGTGTGTGTGTGTGTGTGTGTATGTACACAAAATATATCAAGACAATTACAAAGTGAAAATTCCAAATATGTTGCAATATTGTGTATGTATATATTATATATTGTGTATTTATGTGTCTGTGTATGTATATAATATATTCTTATATGTACAGTATATATAATATATTTTTACATACACACACACACTTTTTTTTATTATATACAGAATAATATATATATATATATATATATATATATACACACACACACACACACAATAATAAAGTAATTATTAATAATGTGTTACCTTGACAATTAAGCCATTTCACCCAAAAATTCTCATTAAATGTAACACATAGGACTTTTTTAAATTCCTATGTTCTTTATGGTGATTTACAGTAAAACAAAAATAGATTTCAAACATTATATTAAAAATGTAAATAACACATAGATCAATATATTAAATAATATATTAAATGTTCAGCATGATTCAAGCAACACAACAATTACTGATGCATACATAGCTAAATAATATATAATTATTTTTCACAGTACTGAGAACTGATGTGCTTAACTGTTTTGGAAATAAAGGCACAATGCAAAAAAAAAGAAAAAGAAAAAGAAAAAAAAAAGTAGGAATCCTAAAAATTGGACTTATTTTTCTCTCTCTTTCTGGTTTCTTATTATAGCACAGTCTTGTATTTCTTTCCTCTGAATTTGGGGTGTAATATGACCCGGACATTCTTGACAGGCTAGGTTCCATGAGATTCGCCCATTCTATAATGACAATGAATACAATTTCAGACCACAGCAAACACAAATCACAGACTCTACGAGATGTGCTTTTTGTCCACCATCAAGAAAAGCTGCTGTCTGTACAGCATCTAGAAGCCTCACTACACCAGTTTCTCCAGGAGACACCATTGACCCGCTCTGTTGAAGCAGGAGCAGTGAATGCGCAGTCTCAGTGCGGAACGAAGGTATCAGACACACCAGCCAATGTTGCCAAAGCAGCAAAAAATGCATCTCATTTCATCAGGTCCTCAACAGCAAACCTGTATTAAACGATCACTGAGATGCACAAGGAAGGATGTGCACACGAGACAAAAGACGACGAGGATCCTCCCTCAGTGAAAAATAGGATGCAAATCTTTTTGTCTGCTCATTTTGAACGGTAGCATAAGCCACAGTTGGCACAGACTGTCTGCTATGCTGTTTTCTGTTATAGCGACCATAACACAGATCCATAGGGAAATATTACTATGGTAGCCAGATGCATTTCATCGGGATACAGACAGAGCATCAAATGCGGCGTAATTTGATTGATCTCAGTCTTGCAGCGCACAACACTGAAATGAAAGTGAGGCTATTAACGCAGATTATGGAGCCACTTTCACCTCCATCGCGCGTGGAAATGAAAAGCGCTTATTCTGATGGCATCTCCAGACAATAAATGCATCATCTTACCTGCGCTGTGCGAGAGATCAATGCCAGACTCGCTGAGGATGTTCGGGTCACTTTGAGATCTGCCTCTGTGCAGAAGACATTTGTCTATTCCGTCCGATGAAGCCATGAGGAGCTATGAATAAAATATTGAAATTCCTTTCAGAGGTAGTCAAACCCGACGGTGAGGCGGATGCGTCTCGGTCTAAGAGCATCCAGCAGCAGGCATGCTGACTTAAAACCCTTTACAGTGACTGTGTGTGTGTGTGTGCGCATGAGGGAGCGAGACCGAGTGTGTCTGTCATGAGGGCTGGGGTATTTGTGTGTGTACGCGCGCGCGCAGATGCCACCTTTATCCACTTCACAATGACCCACTGACAAGCGAGCATGCGCTCGGAATCACAGGATGCTAGCGAAGGACGTGTTTACAGTGCCTTCTTAGATGAGTGCATTCGTTTGGGCTTTTTACAGTAGCCGTGTTTCGTTTGGAACGAATCGGTGTCTTTGAAAGGAATGAATCTTTTAAAAAGTGAAGCGTCATATTAAGCTCGCTATAGTCTCTTGTTCTTGAGGCGCTTGACCAATTTCGTGTCTTTAAAGAAAATGGCTTTCGATTGAGTCCTGGGACATTTCATGTTTCGAATCCCACATTTCGAGATTCGGATCCAATCGGATTTGGTTGGTGAAGGTATTGAATGAAATTGGACATCTCATTCGGGAACGAACTGAATGAACGTAGAAATGTGTTCGTTTGAGGGAAAGAGTGCAGAAGAATTATAACTGATGACCGTACATAATAAATGAAAATAAATGATTTCACTCGACTCGTGTAGCGTTGAGTGAGTGACTGAATGATTCAAGAGACTCACTCAGACACACTTGTCGCAAGCCACGTTTACACCAGATATATTTATAAAAAATAAAAATAAAAAAAACTTTTAGCGGCCAGTTTTGTCGTCTGCCGCTTTCAGTGGTCGAGCGCTTTAAAGCTGGGTGGATTTTAAAATGAAAATCTGAAAAAAATTCTGAAATCATTAATGAAACCTACTCGTCCTTGGCCACTGAACAAAGCTGAACGAATCTTTTAAAGCAAAATAATTCGAATGATTCGAATAACTGGGTCAGACAGAGTCGTGTAGTTACTGTGAAATTAAGCAGCTTTCTGATTACCTAATTACTTGTTCTTTATTCTTATTAATATCTAATTAATTATCCATAACACACACACACACACACACACACACTTGTTACAAACTACTGGTTTAACTCTGCAGAATAGGCCACTGAACAGTGTTGGGGGTAACGCATTACAAGTAACGTGAGTTACGTAATCAGATTACTTTTTTTCAAGTAACTAGTGTGTCTTTGTTTATTGCTGAAGTGTGTTGAAATTTCTTCTTCTGCATTCTACTGTACGGACGTAAATTTACTTTCCCTTCAGCCTGAGGCTTATTCATTTCACTTTTGGTGTGAAAAGGCTTTTATATTTGCCAAAAATATAACTTTTTTATTTTAAAAACAAACAAGCAAGCCCTGTCCAGATTTTAAAAGTAACGCAAAAGTAACGTAACGCATTACTTTCCATCAAAAGTAACTAAGTAATGTAATTAGTAACTTTTTTATGGAGTAACGCAATATTGTAATGCATTACTTTTAAAAGTAACTTTCCCCAACACTGCCACTGAATGAATATGAATCGTTTAAAGCAAACTAATTAAAAGCATTCGAATCACTGGAACTTGTAGCTTCCAAAAGCGACACCGCAGACAGAGTCGTGTAGCGACAGTGAATTGAACTAATGTAGTTTTAGCAGCGTTCTTGTAAGAATGAATAATAATAATAACTTGTAACGTATTATTAATAACTACATGATCATTTATAACATCAGAACCCTTGTAATAATACCATTCAACAGTCCGATGGGAATTAGCTTATATGAACTTAATCCGAATAAAGTTAATCTAAAATGTATCTAACATAAATGCTCATCATTTTGTTTAATTTACTATTTATTGTTTATTCTGCTGCGCTGATCAATTTTTAGATTCTCGTCTCCCATTGGTCATATTTCTACATACCCTTCTCTGATTGGTCAATGCTGGCAAGCACATCCAGGAAGTGTGTGCAGCAAGGGAAGCTGTGGCAAAAATGGCAGCGCATAGGTGCGGTTTGTCTCTAGTATTCATTTTGATTTTCTCTAGTTTAGCATGCCCCAGTAGTTGTGACGCGCTAGAAAAAGCAAACGAGAATACAGGAGAAAAACAGAGCGTTTCAGACACGCCACGAGAGGTGAATACCGACGGCAGTATCGCCGCAGAGGATCTGAATGAAAGGCAATGGCAGTCCACTGATGTTGAGGTGGACAGAAGCGATGGCACCAAAGACAGCGAGTCTTTTACAGCAGCAGCAGCGAGAGATCAGTTTCAGGAGGAGCTGGTCATCCGGCCCCTGCACTCCGGAGACATTTATGCCAGCTTCCAGTTCCGCACACTGTGGGACATTGACTTCCTGCAAGAGCGACAGAAGGGTGAGTTATCATCGCTGTAGTACTGTCCCATTGCACTCAGACTTTGTCTCTGTGCAACAGCAGTCAAATGGACTCCTTTACTCATTTCTTTGTTCCCCCATTAAATAATAACAATTGTAAAGTCGTCAGAATTATGAAATATCACAGATGGAGGTACAACTGTTTGTTGTGAGTTTACATGTGTGCTGGACAATTATTAGCTGCATTTCTTTCACTGTCTGGTCCAATTTATCCATTAAAAATAAATGAATGAATAGAAATCTCGTGTAGACAAATTAAAAACTAGTTTCAAGCATTTATATATAAGCCTTCAGATCAAAAAGTTACCGATTACAAAAAACATGCTGTAAATTCAGCCAAATGTAGTGCCTTGAAACTAATAAAAGTAAGTATAGTGTGGTGTTTATGAATACAATTAATAGACTTGGCTAATAAAATTCATTTTATGCGCAAAGTCTGTTCATTTTATTCATACTTTACCATACTTAATTTTATTTGCTGGGTCTATTCTATTTTCATATTTTAAAAACTACACCATACTTTAGTTGTATTGACATTCTAATTAATTTTACTCCTCAAATGTAATTCCTTGTAGTCAAAACTAATCAACTAAAGTATAATGTAGTGTTTTATGGGGATAAAATGAATAGACTTAAATAATAAAATTAAATATGGTATAGCATTTAAAACATGAATAAAATGAATAGGCCTAATGAATAAAATTAAGTATGGTGTAGTATTTAAAATATTAATAAAATTAATAGATTTAATTAAAATAATTATGGTGTAGTGTTTATGAATAAAATGAATGGACTTGGTGAATAAAATAAAATATGCTACAGTATTTCAATTCTGAATAAAATTAATAGACTTCAGTTAATAAAATTGATTATGGTTCAGTGTTTGAAAAATGAATAAAATGAATAACTTAGTTAATAAAATTAAATATGGTATAGTATTTAAAATATGAATAAAATGAATAGACCTGGTTTATAAAATTAAGACTGGTATACTGTTTAAAAATATGAATAAAATGAATAGATTTCAGTCTATCAGGGATTAAAGTTTTCTGTCGCTACGACAGATTTCCATCAGTTCATAAAGACAGTCACTTGCTTCATTCCTGAATGATTCAGCCGTTTGAACGAATCAATTGAATGAATGATTCAGTGATAAAATCAGTGACTTGCCGCCACCTGCTGGTGGATTTAGTTGAATTTTTAGCGTATAATTTCAGTTATTTAAATTATTTAATATTTCTGTAGTCAATGTTTAATGTTTTAAATATAAAATTTTGAATACAGAAATATTAAATGATTTAAATATCTGAAATTATACGCTAAAAATGAAACTAAATCCGCCAGCAGGTGGCGGCAAGTCACTGATTTTACCTCTGAATCATTCATTCAATTGATTCGTTCGAACGGCTGAGTCATATAGGAATGAAGCAAGTGACTGTCTTTATGAACTGATGGAAATCCGTCGTAGCGACGGAAAACTTTAATCTCTGGTCTATACTCTATTCTGATGATTATGCTTTGTTGGAAGTGAAAGTTTGCTTGAAGAGCTAATCCTTGCCCAGCAATGTTTACCAAGTATCACCTCTAGTCCTAACATTTGTTTTCAAGATTTGTCTTTTTTGCCTACAGTTTCTCATTACCGGCTGTTCCCCAAATCCCTTGGTCAAGTGCTCTCCAAGTTTTCAGTGCGAGAGCTGCACATCTCCTTCACCCAGGGCTTCTGGAGGACCATGCAGTGGGGGCAGCCCTTCATCCCCTCTCCACCTGGAGCAGAGCTGTGGGTGTGGTTCCACGACACAGTGAGCGAGTGAGTGGTACCTATATGTGCTTAAATTAACTGTGGAAGTCGAAGAATCCCTGATTTATAAGTGCATTAGTTTTATTCTGCAAAAATGTAACTCCATAATGAACTAACAGTCCCCTGACTTTTGTTCAATTCTCAGTGTGGATGGAAACTGGAAGGAACTTACCAACGTCCTCTCTGGAATCTTCTGTGCATCTCTGAACTTCATTGACCTGACCAACACCGTACAGCCCAGTGCTTCTTTTAAACCGCTGGGTCTGGGAAATGGTACGGCCCTTTCTGTGAATTATAAAGCAGCATTCAAACTGACAGTGATTTGCAGTGATGAAGCAACTGAAGCTCATTCATTCTTGCCAACCTGCACTGATTCAAATGAAAAAATGCATGTTAATGATCTTATTGTAAACGATTCAACCATGCATGTTTCATTTTTTAATTCTTTCTCTCCACACAGCTACAGATCACCGTTTTTTACGTTATGCAACATTACCACGTGAAATCGTCTGCACTGAGAATCTCACACCCTGGAAGAAGCTTCTCCCTTGTGGTTCTAAGGTTCAATATCATTGCTTGTGATTTTAATAACTGGTTATTCTAAAGAAGCCATGAATTCATGCATTTGCTTTTTAATTTCTTCAGGCAGGTCTGTCAGTTCTCCTGAAGTCAGAGAAGCTGTTTCACAGCAGTTTCCATTCCCAGGCTGTTCACATCAGACCTGTCTGTCAGGTCAGCTTTCTTTAACAAAAAAAATAAATAGATAAAAAAAAAATTCCGAAATTATATTCTGGCTCAGGTTGTACATTGTCTGGAAAATTCCTTGCTTCCTGATGACCCTCAAGATTTTCTCTTTTAGGATGAACAGTGCACAAGTAAAGCGTGGGAGCTGAGACAAACTCTAAATGTTGTGTTTGATCTCTACACTTCAAGCCAAGGCAAAAAGGGTGAGTAATAAATGAACGTTTGATGATAGAAGACTTTCTCTTTTCTTATTTCAGTGTGCCAAATAGCCATTCGTAGGTTGATTTACCTCAAGTGTGGAAAAACTGTGATGCTTTCGAAACATTGCTCCCTATGAGAAACAATTAAAAAACAATGGGAACATGTGAAATCTAAATTAAAAAGAAAAATCATAAAAGCATAAAAATGGGCTTGACTTTGCAAAAGCTTTGGTGCACCTTAATTTTGCATTTCAGTGTGGGGTTTCTAGTGACAGAAACTTGAAACAATACTATGCTCAGTCCATCTGTGTATTAATTACTACCTTCATCTTTTCACAGAATGGTCTTTGTTCAAGATGTTTTCTCGAACTTTGACAGAGGCTTGTCCTCTTGCTACTTCTAGTAAAATCTATGTGGACATCACAGACAACCCTGAGGTGAAACTTAAACAACAAAGCTTTTTGATGCTTTGATGTTTCTCTAAATGGGAAATAAAACTGGCTAAGAAGTATTTTTAAATCCTAAATTGCGTTTTAGAGTTTCCCATCCACTGTAGCCGACTGCTGTTCTCAGTCAGTTTGAGTTTTGTGCTGTTTGTCCAACAGGGGGAGCTGTTTGAGTTGAATCCTGTGACTCCTCTGCTCAGCCAAGCTGTGGTGCTGGGGGATCGTAGGACATATTCCGTGTTTGACCTGACCAGAGCTGAGACGTTTGGCCAGCTATGTTCACTCAATCTCCTTCTGCGCTGGAAAGGAGACAGTGGTATGAATGTGTTTGATGGGTGTTTTTTGCATTGTCTTTGTATCGATGAACTATTTATGTTATCGTTACAAAGTGAGAATCTGTACTTTGGAACATTCTAATTTTTTATATTCGTCTGTGTTAATAGATCAGTCATGCCGACTTGATTCTGTGGTTCTTTCACCTTGTGCTTTAGGCGATATGCTGCGTCCCCTGCTGCATGCAGAGCGCTACGTGGCTGGTTTTGGGCTGCAGACAGGGGAAATCCACACTGTCATCTATAACAACCATCCATATCGAGCTTTTCCTGTGCTGCTGATGGATTCAGTGCCCTGGTACCTGCAATTGTACATTCACACCCTGACAGTCACCAGCAAGTCCCGTGATAACAAGCCCAGTGAGTAGACACATAACCACAGTAGTATCTGTGCAAAAAATATAATCTACTCCAACTTTGTGTGCTTTTTATATATTTATCACTTGTTTTAGGGGCAATTCTTCAATTAAGGCCTCTTTTGACTTCCAGTACTTGAATCATGAAAAATGCTATATCTACTATAATGTAAATTTACTTAAAATGACTAAATATTTCCTATGTTCAAATGTCCATGCTGCCGTTCTGGCCTTTTCATTTTTCATTGGCATCTTAAGATTCATTCGTTCATTCATTTGTTTATTTATTTGTTGGGAAAAAATAATATTAGTTCTTTAAAATTCTGATTCTGATGAACTGATCTGTATATATCAGTGGTCTGATGTAATGAAAGTATTATTTGTTTATTACTGACATTATTAGACTATTACTGTACATTACCTTTCAAAAGTTTGGGGTCTCTAAGATTTTTTTTTTTGAAATGTGTTTGAGCATTTTTGAATATATGTGTCTCATGCTCACCAAGGCTGCATTGAAGAAATCAGAAATACAGTAAAACAGTAGTATTGTGAAATATGATTACAGTTAAATTAAAATCTATTAAAATGTTGATTATGGTTTTTTGGTGCTTAATATTTTTGGGGAAACCATGACACATTTTTTCTTGATCCCTTTATGAATCGAAAGTTCTAAAGAAGAGCATTTATTTGATATAGAAATCTTTAGTAACATTCTAAATGGCTTTACTGTCATTTTTGTTTAGTTGAATGCATCCTTGCTGAATAAAGGTTACTTTATTCTTACTGATGTATCAGTATTGAATATATATACAATGTTTTGTACACTGAAATACCAAATGTATTAAGCAGATTTTTTTTTTTTTTTTTTTACTATTTTTAATTGTTAATTAACTGTAGAGGGCATGTTAAAACGTCTGGATAGGGAACAAGCCCAAAATAGAGAATTCTTGCCAAATGTTTCAACACTCTTCAAAATGAGGAAGTATACATTTAAAAGTCACAGTAAGCAGTAAGTTTAAAGCGTTCACAAACTTTTCCTTAGTGGACAGAACAAGACCCATGCTTGTGAACACAGAGAATACAGCCGTTATAGACCTTGTGCCTTCTCCTGTAGGTTACATTCACTACCAGCCTGCTAAAGACCGCCATCGTCCTCATCTACTGGAGATGCTGATCCAGTTACCCCCTCACTCTATGACAGAGGTCACTGTACAGTTTGAAAGGGCCCTGCTCAAATGGACTGAGTACACACCTGATCCCAACCACGGATTCTACGTTGGGTAAGATGCTTGCTTATCAAGTATTTTGAAAGATCTTACCTGTCCAGAACACCTCCAGCTTCTTTCGCAAGATAGGATTTTGTCTTTTCTTGCGATCCTTGACTAAATATAATTGTACAGATTTTATCCGGTGTGCCACTCCCTTTATCTGATTGATGTACTATAAATATGTTATTGCAGTTCATCTGTGGTCAGCGCCCTTGTGCCAAGTATGGTTGCAATGAACACCAACTTCACACAAGACCAACCGTTGTTTAGCAGTTTGTAAGTATGAATTGGCCTTGGTTTTTCCCCCCAAAAATGAAAATATGCTGCAAATACACTCCACACTCCAGGCCATTCAAGATGTAGATGTGTTTGTTTCTTCATCAGAAACTTATGAAATTTATCATTACATACACCAATGGATCCTCTGCAGTGAATGGGTGCCGTCAGAATGAGAGTCCAAACAGCTGATAAAAACATCACAATAGTCCACAAGTAAACCACACCGCTCCAGTCCATCAATTAATGTATTATGAAATGAAAATCTGCGTTTTACTGCTTTCTGCAGTGATGTCGTCTCGTATGAATAAGAAGAGAAATATGCACAGATCATGCACCATTTACAAGCAAAAACAGTTCTAAACAAATATGTGGGTGGATTTTGATGTGTGAGGACAACGGGATTTTTTTCTTTACTGGATGAAGCATTATTATAGATTATGGATATGGCCAGAAGCAACGATTTGAGGTTAAAAAAACATCTTAATGATGGATTTGTTTCTTACAAATATACAGCTTTTTGCTTCACAAGACATTAACTAATGGATTGGAGTGGTGTGGATTATTGTGATGTTTTTATCAGCTGTTTAGACTCTCATTCTGACGGCACCCATTCACTGCAGAGCATCCACTGGTGGTGAGCAAGTGGTATAATGCTACATTTCTCCAAATCTGTTCTGATCAAGAAACAAACTCATCTATATCTTGTATGGCCTGAGGGTGAGTAACTATTCAGCAGATTTCCATTTTTGTGTGAACTATTCCTTTAACAGTAAGAAAGTGTACCTTATATGTTTTCTTTCTTCATAACGTTTCACCTTTAATTTCCAGTGTCCCAGTCAAAGAAGAATCAAGCTACTTTGTGCGAGTGTACACCGAGCCACTGCTGGTAAATCTACCCACCCCTGACTTCAGCATGCCCTACAACGTCATCTGCCTCACCTGCACGGTGGTCGCGGTGGGCTACGGCTCCTTTTACAACTTGCTGACCCGCACCTTCCAGGTGGATGAACCGAGCCTACCGCTGGAGAAGCGATTGGCCAACCTCATCCGTCGCATACGGGGAGTGCCACTGCTGGCCTAAACTGCCGAGAGCAGGTTTGCCGCCTGAAATGTCCATATTAGGCAGCGGAGAGCATCATGGTGCTTAAACGGCAGCTGCTGGAGTTTTAAGATGCTTTTCAGCCCTGGAAAGACTCAATGCCAAGTGACTGTTCTGAACTTCTGTTGAACAAATGAGCTGCCAAGATGGATTAGCCTCCTTTTTATGTTTTGTTTTGTTTGGGTTTTGTTTTCTGAGTCACATAAACAAAGATTAGCCACCTTCTTATGTTTTGTTTTGTTTGTTTTCTGAGTCGAATAAACAAAGATTAGCCACCTTCTTTTGTTTTGTTTGTTTTCTGAGTCACATAAGCAAAGATTAGCCACGTTTTGTTGTTTTGTTTTGCTTTGTTTGTTTTCTGAGTCACATAAGCAAAGATTAGCCACCGTTTTATGTTTTGTTTTGCTTTGTTTGTTTTCTGAGTCACATAAGCAAAGATTAGCCACCGTTTTATGTTTTGTTTTGCTTTGTTTGTTTTCTGAGTCACATAGGCAAAGATTAGCCACCGTTTTGTTTGTTTTCTGAGTCACTTAAGCAAAGATTAGCCACCATTTTATGTTTTGTTTGTTTTCTGAGTCACATAAGCAAATATTAGCCACCGTTTTGTTTTGTTTGTTTTCTGAGTCACTTAAGCAAAGATTAGCCACCATTTTATGTTTTGTTTGTTTTCTGAGTCACATAAGCAAATATTAGCCACCGTTTTGTTTGTTTTCTGAGTCACACAAGTAAAGATTAGCCACATTTTTGTTTTTTGTTTTTTTCTGAATCGCATAAGCAAAGACATTTTTGCAATGTTGTTTTGGAAAATGTTAGCTTGCTGCCACGTGAACATTTCTCAAAGGAACTGCATGGTTCGGGCATCTGGGAGAAATATACGTGGAAGAGGGATGTTAAGTCCTCTCCGTTTACTCCACCCTTTTGAGAGCGTGACCAGGCCTCATAGAAACACAGACACTACAATCCAACTACTGAAAATGGATGTCTAAGAATGTGGCAAATATTTTCCATGTTCTGTAATGCACTGATATTTAAATATGTGTTGTTTTGAAGGATTGGACTTTTTTTTTTTTTTAGTGTTTTGTTTTTATTCTGTGCTTTTGCCTGTGGGCTGACCGCATAATGACCTCCAGATTGGGTGTTATTGAGTTGAAATTTTGAAGATCTTAACACTGGTTAACTTTCCCATAATAAACTGACTAGAAACCCATAACGTGTTAAGAACAGTTTGACTCTTTAGTGCAACTTTTTTTTTCGTGCCTCAAGGGATTTTGTGGAAGAATGTAATGGGTTTTTTTTTTTGGAGGGTTTAGGAAACTATTTAGCATCTCATTCAGCTGTGCCATTCTGTTTGAATTACTGTATGTGAAAGAGCCTCTGCATTGGCCGATTGTAAATCTTTCTGTTATATGACTTGGAATTTTATAATATATAAATGCACTTAAATGTAGATGTACAGATTTCCATTAACTTACTGGTTGTTAAACTAAAAAGTATCACTGATCAAATCAGACTGTCCAAGCGCCCATTATCAGCTTACCTATTTTTGCCCGGCACTGCTGACTCAAGTATGTCGGCTACAATGTGTCCTAACTAGGCACAATACAAAACAAATTTCCAGAGACAAGCAATCTGAATGTCCACAATGAATGTGAAACTGCTGTGCAACATGATACAATCCCAGCCAATCAGAAGAGATTTGATGTTTAACGTATACTTATGAAAGGGATTTTGGACTAGTGGGATTTGGAGTGGACAGAAATGGAAGCCAGTGATCTGGATTTTCTAAATAATTCTAAAGGTTTCAAGTATTTTGATTTAATAACCTCAAATATATATGTATATATTATTAATATCTTTCATCAAGGCTGCTTTTATTTGATTAAAAATACAGTAAAAAGAGTAATATTGTGAAATTGTATAACAATTTACAATAACGGTTTTCTCTTTTAATATATGTTAAAATGTTATTTATTTCTGTGATGCAAAGCTGAATTTTCATTAGTCTTTTTTCAATTCTTCATTGTCACATGATCCTTCAGAAATCATTCTAATATGCTGATTTGCTGCTCAAGAAACATTTCTTGAACGTTTCAAAAGAACAACATTTATTATTAATATCTAAAGTTTATAGACCTTTTGATCAAATTAATGTGTCCTTGCTGATTAGAAGTATATTTTTAATCCGACTAACCCCAAACTTGAGTATTGTAGTGTATATTTACAAAATATTGAATATTCAAATGTGTTTCTTACACAAAAGATGTGAACTTTGCTCTGTTTCCCTCCAGACAGAATTCACAGTCTGTTCACATTCCAGGAAGCTGATGCACACTAACCGCGATTCAGCTCAAAGTTTCATCATTTTTGCACTTTCTTCTCTCTTTACATGATTAAATCGCCAAAAGTACAGTGCTACTCTGACTGTTTCATTTCTGGTAACGTAGTACTTTAGTTCAAGGCTTTTCCATCACTGTCATGTTTTTGCTGACAAGTGTTTTGACCCTTTTGCTGCTAAGCTCCTGGAGAGGATGGAAACAGAGGTCTCTTTCAGTACAAGACGTTTTGCATGTGTTTGGGTCTCGGGGAGGGGAACTTGTACATTCCTAAGCACTGATGCCCATGAGCTGTTATGTGAGAAAAGAACAACCAAACGAACTCTGGCATACCAAAAATACCAACTCTTCAATGAAGCAATTTTCTTTGTTATTTTGTGGCCAAAAAACTCAACCACTGATAGAAGGTTTACTGAAACTATGAGGTTTATTAGGCGGTTATAAACGGGAAACAACTCCTATGAATAAAGCATGGTACAAAAAACTCAAGTATGTATGATTATGCAAAATCAATCTTCCATTGACTCTTTCCTCCTAAGGTTAAATCAGCACGGTTCACTGCATGCATGACCGCAGGTGGTTGGGCAACATTTCTGTTCAGCAGGGCACTGGCCATCATGGTAACAGTATTCTGCACACATTGGAGTCCCCTTCGGTAGAGCACATCGACCAGGCTTCACTGCATGGACACAGACAAACAGTGTTCAGTCTCAGATATACTGCACAAAACACTCAAAGCAACATCATTTTACTTACAGAGTGAATTGTACTATAGGTATTATTTCACGTCAATTCATTTTGTAAAGCCACCCTGTGCCTGGAACAATACTATATTATATATAATATATAATAATTATTAAATAAAAAAATACAAACAGAAAGGCAAACCCAAACATTTAATAAAAAAAGAATACAATAAAATAATATTCATACCTGTATAACTCATACCTGTATATGGAGCCATGCATTCATGTCCACATCCATTGCTGCAGCATTTCTCATTGTTCGGACAGTCACTGTCATTGACACAGAACTCGGCACACATTCCTGCTCCAAATTTTCTGCGTGGACACACTCCTGGCTTTGCTGTTATACAGACACATGACAGAGACACCATAGCACTGCATGCTGAATGCATTACTGTAGAAAGTTATTTTTTAAGTTACAGCTAAAATAAAGATCAATGGACAAAAACACTGTTTCAGTATTTCTATTAAATGAAATGTAGTGTTCTCTGGTGTATTTCTTACTGAAAGCAGGCGGCACACACACAGCCCCGCAGTCAAAGACACAGCATTTGTGTCCTCCAGAGCAGTCTTTATCAGAAACACATCCCCGACTGGACGGCACGACCGTCAGCTTCGCCGGACAGTGAGCCACCTCTACAGAAGAGCAGCATTACAGGAGACACCAGGGACTGATGTAAGAGTTTGACTCAGCATCTGTTAGTCAGTGGTTTTCCAGTACGTGTCTCAAACTTTAGTGATATTCACAGATGTATCTGCTTCAAATTAAAGTTAGATTCATGCCTAAACTGCGTCCGTTTCAAATACAAATTGCTAACCTAAAATGATTTTTAGAGGTTGTAAATAAAACAGAGTAGTGCAGTATGTTTCACAAGAACATACTATTTCAGTCTTTCTACTTTTTAAAATTTCACTTTTAATTCAAGGTGTTTTCTTTGTAATTATTTGTGAAATTCACTAGCAATTGAAAACTACCAAATTTTTCTCAGTGTAACTCTGTGTTGTAATAGTGAACAGTAATACTAATAGAAAACATCAGTTAACATTTTGTTCATTCATTTACTGTTGTAACCAACCCAAATGTATTTATTCAAAATAATTGTTATCCTCATGACCTCATCCTCATCATCTTGAGCATTCAGATTCAAAACAACAAACTCAATAATACATACATTTGATGGCATGCATATCTGGTCAAAACGATTTGTAACCATGTTAATATTAACATCCTTGTTTTACTGTAAAAAAATAATGATTTTGGTCTTTCAATAATATTGGTCACTGTATGTGTTTTTCCTGAATTTATATATTTAATCTGAACTAATGCACACAGTTCACCTTTCACTGGAAGTCTGTACTGAACGTTTGTAAATTGTAATGTGCAGAGATGCCTAATATCATATCATATCATATCATATTTTGTAAGCAGAGCTGGGCAGATTACTTACAAATTGTAATCAGTTACTGAATTAACCAAAATTATAGTATCATAATCCATTACATTACACATTTTAGGTAATGTAATAATCAGACTATTGATTTAAATGTGCTATATCTTGTACCATATTAATATAACAATACAAAGAGTAATTAAATATAGCCTACTCTATCTGTTGTCATCAAAATATCATAAAATGAATCAAAATAAAACACTTACTGAAAAAAATGCAAAACATGAACATGCAAATGTGATACTTCAATATTCAAATATTTATTTTAAAATCTCAGGGGTAGTTAAATATATTAAGTGAAAGGATCAGATGGGGAAAAACGTTGGTGGAATTACAATGGTAAAGTTAATCAATAATTCAAATAAAAATGACTGTGTTCATCAGTAGTTGATGCAATGTTGAAACACTTCTTAAACCTGAAGTTATTTTTGTAAATCCAGAGGGTGAATGCTGTGAACCACGTGACTAACGACTGATCTCTGCGTGAATGTCCACAAACCTGGACGACTTATATAAGCAGCAGGCTAAAAGATGAGTTAGAATGATGATGAGAGTTAAAAAGATAAGAGGAATTATGGAGATCAATAAATTATGAATACATTGTTACTGTGGGAATAATATGTAGTCATGTAATCTATAAAAAAGTAACTGTAGTCTGATCACTAGGATTTGAAAATGTTATTTAATGTGATTACAGGTACTTCATTCTTGGAATTCTTGGAATCATGGATCTTCTCACCTGTGCAGTTTGGTCCTGAAGCCGCGTCTGTTGTGCTCAAGCATCCAGACAGACACAATAACAGCACACTCCCCAAACAACACACGCGAGCCGTCATCCTCTCGAGCTGCAGTCACACAATGAACTGCTGGAAAAGTCAGAGAGTCAGGAGGAGCGGAGCTTCGAGATCCTTGCGCGAAAATGAGAAGAAGAAAAAAATCATCTACTGAACCCCGCGACGGCTCTGCTTATTACTTCAGAATAGTTTTACCATCGGGTCTGTAAAAAGGGAACAGTAAATACTCATGCTTCAAGTTGTTTTTGTTTGCGTTTTTAAAACGATGTTTTAAAATAGTGTGTATTCACGCCCTACGGTTCGTCAAATATTACCAAAAAAAGTTGTCCAAAGAAATCATACTTTTCTCCAGACTAGAAAGTATTGCCTGCGGGCCGCGCCAGTCAGCCAATCAGAACACTTGAAGCCCGCTCTCAACCAATAGCGTGAGTTGGAGGCGGGACGATCTGTTCTGGCAAACAATAAAACATGTGGGCACTGGTCACCTAAGTGTAAGGTGTGTATGTAGTGTATGTATGCTTTATATATGTTAGCATCTCAGTGGTGGTCGCTTAGCTGGCACATGCAACCACAAAATACTCAGAACAATGCCATTTGTACTTAATGGGTAGCCTACTCAGTTCCAGAAGTATGTGTATTTTTTAAATCACTTTCGCTGTCGTGAAACACTTAACGGTTTCCCTTTGCTAAGGGAAGTGTTTAAAGGGGTGAATATGATGCGATTTCAATTTTTCCTGGAGTGTTACAAGCTCTTGGTGCATAAAGAAGATCTGTAAAGTTACAAAGACTAAAGTCTCAAATCCAAAGAGATATTCTTTATAAAAGTTAAGAGTCAACCACGCCTACCTAAAACGGCTGTTCTAACACGCCCCCACATACCTACCTCACTATGTGGGAAGATTTGCATAACGCCTCCCAGAAAAAAGCAAAGAAAGAAGG